AATAACAAATAAAAAAATAATGCAGAAAGCGGCAAAAAGCTGAAAGATTTCACACAAAAATTCGAAATTCAAAATTCAAAGACCCGAATCTGATATTTTTATGTGTCAAATCAAAATGTCATGTATCATTATTTGATAGTTGTCAGAAAAAGGGACAGATCTGGGGATTTTATTTATTTTCAACTGGTGAAAATAACGGTCAAAATTCAAACTCTATCGTGAATACGACTATTAGTGGAGTAAAATCACAATGAAATTATGACTTTGAGTGATTCCGAGGTATAACCAGATGAAACCTATATCATCTTGTAGAGGACACTCTGAAGCATAGGAAATGAGAATGTACAACTTTTTTTAGTAGGACTGAACTTTGAAATCGGCCCTTAAACGTGACTGAGCTCGAATTTGAAAAACTACGTTTTTCTAAACATTACCCGCTGTATTAATTTAAGCATACAATCAAAAATTCTGATTTTTTGCACACTTATACTTGAAACATGAGCGCTTCTAATGACAGTTCAGAAATTTCGAAAAGGTTCAAGGTTTTTTTGTTAAAAAGTTAGGAATATAGAATTATCAAAATCGTGCATCTAAAACTTCACCCTGCGGCTAGCAATGTGAATTATTGAAAATTTCTATACATATATATCGAATCAAATGTAGTAAAAATATTGACGAAGTTTTTGAAAAAAAAATTAAGTCGCTAACTTTAACGGTTATAGAAATATGAATTTTTATCCGAGAGCTTTGAAATGCGCTCTGATGTTGAAAGCGGCTAGCGGCTAACATTCTGGAAATCATCTGCGTTAGTGCGTTACATCTAGAAATAAAAAAAAAAAAAATCTATAAACATAAAATAATTGATTGAATCCTTTTTTATGAAGTTAGTTTAAATATTTTCTCCTTCGTCATCCTCATATAAATCAGGAACATTATTTTGACAACTTTTGCAGGAACAATCGCTGCAGCATATTAAAACCTCTTTCAAGCAGACACATTTATTATTTTAACATAATCTATCTTCACAGAAGACATTCATTAGTTGCCTTATATCCATTGGTATGGGATCAGCAGTCATCAACACAGGCTCAAAAATTCCATTATTCCTAGTCCAACCAAAGTTAACAGGGTCAAGTATAGGTATAATAGGTATATGACTGAATATCCATATACGCAGTTGATATATGCACCTGAAATTTTGCTTATCGCATAAATACAGCTTCTTTTGTTATATATACACCTAGCTCAGTACATGCTGGTGAAATGCATCATCTGTGGGTAGAAGTTCAGAAGCGGATTTATTGGAAGTTGTGGTCAATTGATATCTCAATTCATCGAGGGTTTTTAGGGCCTCGTTCTTATTTCTAAATAGGGCCAATGCAAATTTGGTGGCAATATAAGGTTCCAAGATTTTTAGAAAATACATTTTTTGCCTTTGCATTTGTGGTATCGCATCCTGTTGACACATGCAACGCTGGTAAACATTTATAAACTTCATTTTCCAGTTTCTGCACTATTTATTGGAATGATCCGTTTTTTATTCCCTTGTCTAAATTCCATAAAAAGGAAGGTTTCTTTCAAAGAACTTACTTCAATAAATTCAGAATAGTGGTAAATAAGTAATACCAGAACATTTGCATCTGCAGACTTCACCAACATTTTTTTTTGGTGAAGTATCTGATATTCATATAAGACGTGAATTATAAGTCGTGCATCAGTCTCATCATGATTCGATTTCAAATCTTTCAATTCGGTCACACGGTTACACCATCCTTAATGACAGAAAAGCATAACTCTGGGTTTTCAAAACCACCAGCAATGATCAGAGTTTCTTCTATTTGTCAGCTAAATGTTCCAAAATATAACCAGTTACAAATTTCAATAGGGATTTTTCATTTCCTGACAATTTTAAAAAATTCCGAAACTTCATCACTTTTCTCTTTCCAGAAACTTCATACGCATACGTATCTGCGAAGTTACTTCTTCTGCATCTTTCCAAAGACTTGACCGATTCATCTATTAAAAACCACCGTTTTCCTCAGTGCTCCATACCTTCGATCAAGTGAAAGAATTTGCTTCAAAAAAATACATGCGAGTTCATTAAAAGTTAAGCTGAAAATGCACTTTATCATTTAGTCCTTGAATAAGTACCATGCCACCTATCAAAAGTGAATTGAAGGGGGTGTGACCCAAAAATGAAGTTTTAGTGCGAAAAAATCTAAGAACAAATATTTGAACAGCATCTTGCTACGATGAACCGTTTTCGAGTATAAGGGTGGTTTAAAACGCCTAGGCTGTTACGTCACACTGGCGTCGGAGGCACAGTTAAAATATGTGTGAAATTTTGCAAGACAAAAGTCAACGATCTCACTTAAAGCAAATTGCAACCACTTAAAGTATAGGGCACAGTTCAACCACTGAACAAACAGAAGGCTATGATTTCGGCGGTTAGCCGGTGTGACGTCACAAGTTCCTGCAATATTTATTTTCATGAAGAATTTTCTCGGATAGTATGTTGAATGAAAGACTGCGGTTTCCACGGGAAATCTTAGATTTTTTTTCTTGATTTAAGTAGCTAAAGTTGCTTTTTTCAGTCACACCCTTGTTTAACATCAGTTCGAAGAGAAGCGACTATTGAATATAGAAAAGTCAGAAAATGCACCTCTCGGTGAATGCACGAATAATTCCGTCGCGACGCAGTTCACGATGGGCTGAGCGCACCCAGGGCTCTTGGATAAAAATTTATATTTCTATAACCGTTAAAGTTAGCACCTTAATTTTTTTAAAAAAAACTTCGTCAATGTTTTTACTACATTTGATTCGATATATATGTATAGAAATTCTCAATAATACACAGTGCTCGCCGCAGGGTGAAGTTTAAGATGCACGATTTTGATAATTCTATATTCCTAACTTTTTAACAAAAAAACCTTGAGCCTTTTCGAAATTTCTGAACTGTCATTAGAAGCGCTTATGTTTCAAGTATAAGTGTGCAAAAAATCAGAATTTTAGATTGTATGCTTAAATTAATATAGCGGGTAATGTTTAGAAAAACATAGTTTTTCAAATTCGAGCTGAGTCACGTTTAAAGGCCGATTTCAAAGTTCAGTCCTATTAAAAAAAGTTGTACATTCCCATTTCCTATGCCCCAAAGTGTCCTCTACAAGATGATATAGGTTTCATCTGGTTATACCTCGGAATCACCCACCCTCAGAAAACAGCGAGTTAGAGCAGTGATTTTATTCCACTATATACCTATTCAATTATATGAAACAATGAACGTGAAATAAAAAACTATTTGTGCATGAAATAAATTTATTAACAAAACAAACATGCTAAAAACTAAACAGCCTCAAATGACTCAAATGAGTGAACAAACAGTCAGGATTATCGATATAATGTATATTTTTAAATACCTACAATCTTGATCGTTCTATCAACAATATGATCTTGAAAAGCTGAATAAAATTAATATACAGGGTCGCCAATCGAAAACGGAACAGAGGCCTTTGCGGGCAGCTCATATTTTTTTTTTTAAATCGCTCGGACCCGTCGATTTTGTTTTCGAGGGGGACAAATCCTGATGCAACTATTTATTGTACTGGGTGTGCCAAAAAGGCTCTACCGATGTCAACTTTATTTTTTCAAATGAGGAGACACCCTGTATTTTATTACATTTTTGGATTCCAACAATGATTCTAAGTAATTTTATCCCAGGTACCATGGCTCTATTGTCAATAGTTTTCGAGTTAAGGAGGTATCAGACGTGCCGTTGCCGATTACTATTGACGATTTCGATTGGAAATTCGACCAATCAAAATGTACCTGCTTCTGGTTGCGATTGCCGTTGTCTGTTTAGGTTGGAGTCTAAAAGTGTTTTTTCTCGAGCCCAGCAGTTCGAAATAATTTTGAAATCTGTTTTAAACCCGTTTAAAAATAACGTTATTACTTTCATTCGAGAAAAAATGAATTTTTCAAACCAGAAGAATTCAACCATACATAACCTAGAATTTTTGTTTTTTTTTTTCTGGTATTAGCCGCCTATTCTATATTTTTCAAAAAATGTGAGAGTGTTCTGTTTATGATTCTATAACCCCCTACAAAAGACACAACACAAATATAAATATAAATATAAATAACAAACTGTCAGCTTTCCTAAACTACTGCGCATGAGTTTGTTTTTGAACCGATGCGAAATCTCGTTTCAAAATATTTTCAAACAGTTTTGTTATGACGTCATTGGTTCAACGCGAAAATGTAATGTTTTGAATTAGGTTCAACCTGGTTTAACCAATTTAACCGAGAAAAAACACCTTAAATTTTACGAGGCCGTTCTGAACCGTAGCCAATGAACGAGCTTTATGAACAGCATGTGTCATGTGTCTAAACGTCACTTTTTTAGTTTTGCAATTTATCACTTCTGGTACTGCACCCAAACCGATTTTGGTTTGGATCTTTCTCTTTCCTCTTCTTCCAATATAATCATATAGCACAGCAATGCAGATTTATGACTAATATCACCTGCAGCATTATTGCTCAAAAGTGTCAGTGTCAAACGGGTAGTGCTTGTGGATTTGTAGTGAAATGGATGGAATTTTCTATTAAAAATATCAAATAAAATAATTTGTCGTGAATAAAGTAGAGTATACTACTCGCAATAATGGCTAATATTCCCTCGGAATGTTACTCCCTCGCCGCTAACGCGGCTCAGTTCGTATCATTATTGACTCGTGGTATAATCTACTAATATAATAGACCAGCAGATTAAATTATATTTTGTTGTATTACTTTTTTTTGATCGCAATGGTACATGCTACATATTATTATATCTTTGGAAAATATTTTTTTTTTTTGGTAATTTTTCTTAAACGATATCCATGACCCATATTTTGCTATTCAAAATATTGCCCAATTCTGATCGAAAGGACATAAAGTTTTCATAGCTAATTGGGATTTCAAGGAGACCAGAACATGTATGTGCGATAGGTGTTCTCCCAAACCCCTCAGTATCATTAAATTCTATTTTGATTTTTTTTATGGCAAGATCAGATCCAGTGCAGATTCTAAGAAATGATGCTCTTGTTTTTTCATCGCATTCTTTTATAATTTTTTTTAAGAAGGTGATGATTTTTTGTTTTTCAGATGTAAGATTGTCATCTGAATTAAACAAAGCAATCACGTTTTCATCGCTTGCTTCTAGTTTCGAATAAATGTTTGCTAAATCAAGCATACTTTTTATTGGATTTAAGTTCTCAGTAAAGCAGTTTTTAACAAATGAAGGTTTTTGGAGCATCTCCTCCTTGGAGATTTGCACAAGCATTTTTTTAAAGTTATCCTTATTAGGTATCCATTTTCCATCATTACTACAAAACTCAAGCAAATCTTCCAGGTCGACCTTTTCGAAATTTTCCAACCCAGTTTTTAATAATGTTGCATCAGAGTCAGAAACATATTTGAGAAAGTTCTGCAGTACATCTTCATCTTCTGTTGGCTCCCCCAAACAATCCTTGATAAATACTGGTGCAAGTTTTATGGGGAAATAAGATTCGGCCAAAAAACTGGCACTGATAATCTTGCCAACAGCATTCCACTCTTCTTTCTGAAAGTCGTGTCTTTAAGATGGTACTTTGTATTGACCACCCATTGTGCACATGTCATAAAACGAAGTGAAAAACTCTGAAATAGTGTCTCTTAATACACCCCCTGTTGATGCAATGATTTCGCGTTAACTTTTTGTGGGTCAAATTTGACCCTGTATAATAGAGGCATGCATTTTGCGTTCCATATATCGCTGAAGAATAGAAGCGCAGCGCGCGCCTCCTAGAAATACCTAGCGAAAAGGGTAGGACAGTACCGATAGTACAATTGATACGAGAGTTGCGGTTTGGTGCGTACCCACTCCATGTCTCGGCGGTTCCCAAAAGATTTTCGCGACCGTTGAGTTTTTATCGTACATATTTCGCCGTTTGAACAATTGAGCGTGAGTTAAAGCCTTCCAGGGGCGCCCCTAAAGTTACGAGACCACAGAAGCCAAATTGGGTAAGCGACAAAACCTTTTTGCATGACCTCACTTAATTTCTCATTTTTTCGTGTAATAAGGACGCAATAATCGCAATACAGTCCACTAATAATTCAAACATAATAATTGCATCCTCATTAATTGGTCCCACGAGCGGATATTTGAAAAATAAATTAAAAATCAATCAATCAATAAATAAATTCGTTGATTTTCAGTCATTTTATCTACCTTTTTAATATTAAAATAAGCCAAGGTCACACGCGGTATCAGGTAACAATAAGCTCTGGAATTTGCAGTTTTTTGTCGTTTTCGTCCAAAAGCTATAAAATAGGTATTCAAATTGAAAGTAATCAACTACTGATAAAACAAGTTTAAGAATAATTGTCGTTTTTGGACGGAATAAAGCTCATAAAAGCAACAAGTACAATTTTACAATTTTTAGTTATTTTGTGAATAATATTATCACGCCATTTTTCGCTTCAATTTTACAATTTTTCGATATTCACAAAACTCAAAAAACTCAGTCCTTTATCGTTGTTGGTTGGGCCTGCTTTTAGATAATTAAAATAAATACAAATTTAAATTGAAGGGGAAAAAGCTCAGCTCACATTTGGTTATTATTTATTCATCAAGGGAAACAATTTCCTTCTTTTGCTTTTGGAAACTCCTGTTCTTTTCTCGACTGACTGTCCTTAACATAAACTTTAATTCGCACCATGGCAGATGAAAAGCAGCATAAACCGTACTCGCAAAAGAGACTAATTTGGACGAATAGGATTACAGAAATGTACACTATCGCTGTAAATGCCAAAACGAGACCCGATATTCACCTTGATTTTAAAACTCGATATGCTTCCTTGGAAGAAATGTATGAGCAGTTTAATACCACTCACAATCACGTCGTATCCGTGGTGGACGATGACGGATTTAAATCCGAAGACGCTATTCGAAAGCAAGTTGATACCTATTACTTTTCGATAAAATCAACGTATAATGAGCTCTTCTCCGCCCTCCCTAGTCACTCGCCTCTTGTCTTGGCGCCATCGTCTCAAAGGTCTCGATCTCACTTGCCTACGCTGAATTTAGCAAAGTTCAACGGAAACTTGAAGATGTGGCCTACCTTTTTCGATTGTTTTCGGAACACCGTTCATGACGACCCAGACATATCTCCCGTTGAAAAGTTTCGACATTTGCTATCACTTTTGGAAGACGAACCCTTCAATTTGGTGAAGTCGCTACCCCTCAGCGACGCTAATTATCGCACCGCTTACGACATGCTCGTAAAGCGCTATCAAAACAAAAGACTCATAGCCACGCATGCGCTAACTTGTATCCTCACCTTCAATTTGAAATCTAACAGTAATGCCAAGGAGTTAAGGAAACTCTTGGATAATTTTTCGGAAGGTCTTTCCATTTTAAAAAATCTGGGTTTTCAGGTAGACAAACTCAGTGATTTTCTTTTACTCAATACCTTGCTACAAAAGTTAGAAGATAAAATTCGAACGGAGTTTGAAGTGGCAGTGACCAAGAAAGAGATCCCTTCTATTGATGATTTAATCAAATTTTTGGAAACCCATTGCAAAGCCTTAGAATCTGTACAGGACCTATCTGCTGCAAAACCCTCGTTGAGTCTTAAACAGCCCTTGCAACCCCCCAAACGACCTTCGTATCCCCAAAGTCATACCCCAAAAAATAACTGCTCGTCTTTCACTAACGTGATTCCTTCGACGCAAAATTGCGCGCTTTGTAAAGGAAATCATTTGTTAATGAGATGTCCCGCATTCGCTTCTAAGTCTCCCAATGAAAGATTCACCTTTGCGAAGCAAGCCAACCTCTGTTTGAATTGTTTGTCGTCGTCTCACCTTCTGAAAAAGTGTCCAAGCAATTATCGTTGTCGATCTTGTAATTATTCACATCATACTTTGTTGCACATGTCCCGGCAAGGAACTCCCTCTTCTGGTCGGGATCCCCCAGGTAATTCGCAATCGTCGTCTGGAGATAACTGTCAGAGTGATGGCCTTTCCGCCAACGGATCATCGAGTTATGCCACAAGCTGCGCTACCTCCACCGTCCTACTAGGTACCGCGATGGTTGACATTCAGGACTCTACCGGACATTATCGGCCTATTCGCATTCTTATCGATTCCGCTAGCCAAGCTAGCTTCATCTCAGAAAAATGTATTCGGCAATTAGGATTACTACGGCGCAGGTATAATATACCTATTCTTGGCTTAAATCAGATGCGTTCGCAAACCTCCAATGGTATGACTCATTGCCGCATAAAACCTCAAAACTTGTCGACTCCCGTCTTTTCGTTCGAGGCCATCGTCCTACCCAATCTGTGCACTGACATGCCCTCCATTCCCCTCAACGGCAGTCGCTGGAAGCATATCAAGCATCTCAATTTAGCGGATAAAACGTGTCAAGTTCCTGGAGCGATTGACGTCTTGATTGGGGCAGAACTAGTCCCCCATATTTTACTTTCCGGGCGGATTCCGGGTACAAATGATCAGCCCTCCGCTCTAGAAACTATCTTTGGTTGGATTTTGATTGGGAAAGTGCAGAATTCGTCGAATAATGCGGTTGCTATCTCATCTTATTGCACTTCGAGTGATTTGGATACTTGCCTTCAAAGGTTTTGGGAGATTGATAACATTACGCACTCGCTTCCTGCATCCCCCGATGATGAACACTGCGAAAACGTTTACTCTGAGTCCACTTATCGCGACAATACTGGTCGATTCACGGTCTCTCTGCCCTTTAAGTGTTCGAATCCCGACTTAGGACATTCCTACTCATTTGCTTATCGTAGTTTCTTGTCGTTAGAAAAGCGCCTAGCCAAAAATACCGATCTTCGCTCAATGTACGTGAATTTCATGCGCGATTATCTTGATACTCATCACATGAGTCTCTCCCCTATAACTGGAAATAAAAGTGGTAAATACTACATTCCTCATCATTGTGTGCTAAAACCTGATAGCTGCACAACCAAATTAAGAGTCGTCTTCAACGCCTCCAATCCCACTTCGACGGGGTTATCGCTGAATGACGCATTATTGCCCGGTCCCAAATTGCAAAAGGACATAGCCACTATTCTCTTATCGTTTCGAATTCACAATTACGTTTTTATGGCTGATATTAAACAAATGTACCGTCAAATATTGCTGCACCCTGCCCAGCGGGATTTCCAAAGAATCCTGTGGAGATTCTCTCCAGAAGATCCTCTTCGTGAATATATTTTGAATACATTAGTTTACGGAATAAAAAGCTCCGCCTACTTAGCTATTCGCACCTTAAAAGTGTTGGCAATTCGAGAACGTCGCAATTTTCCTGAAGCGTCTAAAATCGTTGAGAACGAAATTTATGTAGATGACATAATCTCAGGGAGTCATTCTGTTTCCTCCGCCTTGAAACTTCAACAGGACCTCATTGCTTTGTTAAGCAAAGGAGGATTTGAACTTAGAAAGTGGGCCAGTAACCACGCTGCCCTGTTATCCAAGTTACCAGACAGTGATCGTCAAATGTCCTTATCTTTCGACAAGGATGAACCCACTTTCATCAAAGTTTTGGGACTCCAATGGAATCCCGTCTCGGACACTTTTTCGTATAGCTGCCTACCATTGGAGAAGAGTTGCACAAAACGTAGTATACTTCAGGAAATTGCCCGAATTTTCGACCCTTTGTGTTTTTTGGCCCCTGTGTCTTTATTAGCTAAACATTTAATGCAGAGACTTTGGAAGCTTAATTTAACTTGGGACGAGACACCGTCTCAAGCTATAGTTGAATTGAATTGAATTGAATTGAATTGAATTGAATTGAATTGAATTGAATTGAATTGAATTGAATTGAATTGAATTGAATTGAAAATGTCTTTATTTAGGTGTACACAAAGTTTCATTACAAGAGAATATAGTAATACCAGGTGGCGATATTCGCTTAGTAGCGCTCTTCCATATAACCACCTTGAGCATCTAATAATATAATATAAATAATAACAACAACCATGCTAAGTGACAACAAGCAAAACTAAATTATATAGGTAACCAAGTAAATATATAGATAATTTTACTAACCATTACAAGAAAAAAAATTAATTTGTTGTACGGAAACTAAAAATAAATAAAATAAGGAAACAAAAGAAAAATAAAACAAAAAAATTAAACAAAAAAAAAATAAAAAGTAAAAAATAAAAGACCAAAAAATAAGAGTCAGAAGAACACCTACACACTTATTTGAATATTATTAAATGGAAACTCTAAGCTGATTATTTGAAACAAGTCTTTTTATCTCCCTTTTAAACGACAAATCACTAACTAAAGATTTAATACGTTCAGGGAGTTTATTGTAAAGTTTCACAGCTGTAAAACTAAATGATTTTCTAAAGAGTGCTGTTTGATGATTTGGCACACAATAGAGACTGCGATGCCTAGTACTTCTAAAATGAACATCACTGCATCGAGTGAGCTTGGAAGAAAGGTAAGTTGGTTTTTTGCGTTTGTTTAATCTAAACATGAATGTTGCCAGAGAGACAATGTAGCGCTGATTCAGCTTCAGCCACTTAGCGTCAGCGAAACTTGACG